AGTAATAAAACATTGATACTAGTGATACTAGAAGGAAAACAAACAAGGAGAAGTAGATTTGAGTCATTATGTAGCCCAGCACCGGAAGCAAATTTGAAATTGTATTGTACTGTATTGTTCCCCAGAGAAAACTCTACTTTGTCGTCAACATTTTTATTCATATTCATTCTTCACAATCATCATCATACTTTTTAATAAATCTATATATATAGATCTATTTATTTTTGTTAAGTTTAACAAAAACATTGCCTCACCTTCAATTTTTAGACTCCTTTCGTATGAGATCGTCAGAGACTTATTTTAGTTACTGGTAAAGATGCTTACGCTCACTTATCTCACCAGATCGCTGGGCAAACAACAGGATTGAGTTGATTCTACTGTATATAGTATTTTATTTTATTCTATTCTGTACAGTTGTGTACTGTATTTATTCTTATTGTATTCTAATTTTTGCTTTATAACTTTTGCACTGTCCACTTCCTGCTGTGACAAAACAAATTTCCCACGTGTGGGACTAATAAAGGTTATCTTATCTTATCTTATTATGCTGAGCACATGTCGAATGTCTCTATGAAATAAATGTTAAGCCTAAAACCAAGGTTGGAAAACAGAAACAGCTGCAGACTGATGTCTTTGCTAACTGCCCATGATATTAATTAAGGAAACTATTGGCCTTGACCAAACAACCACATAACCATAAATCAGCCCAGGAAACCTTCAAAACAGCTCACATGAAGTCTTAGGAAAATCTGAAGGAAGACATACATTTTGGACTAACAGTATTTTTCTTTTAGTTTTACAGCTGATTCTACTGACAAAGACCTCCCCCCACAGCCCTTCATACTGCACTAAAGTAATGAATAGGTAAAAAATTAAATGACAGAAAAGCTCCTGTTTTTTCACTACTATAGAATTTTTATTATTATTATTATTATTATTATTATTTTACTGTTGAAAAATATTAATCCAAACAATATTCCTGCTTATCTGGAGTACTCTAGTACTCCAAACTTAATTCTCTCCAGATAAACCCAGTTCCTCCTGGGAGATCCCAAACCATTCCCAGACAGATGAAATATATAATCTCTCTAGCAGGATGTAGGTTTACCCTGGGGTCTCTTTCCAGTTGGGTGTGCCTCCAAAGGGATGTGCCCAGGAGGTGTTCTAAATAATTGCCTGAAACACCTCACATGGGTCCTATCAACAGGCAAAATATCTTAGTTTAGTTTTTATTAGCCTGCACGTTAGTTATTTTTTCTTTAGTAGGTAATGTGTGGTACTAGTCAGTCACTAGCTTGGGTACTTGGTTTAGTTTTAGTCAACTACAACTTAGCTGCCTGTTTTCTCTGATTTTACCTTTCACTGTCTTCCCATTGAAAATGTCGACGTCAGCATCTGTCCCCTCATCTGTGGACACGTGACTGAGGACCAAAACAAAGGGATGAGGTGAATGACATGTTTTCAAAAGGATTAAACAACTAAAACAGGGGGCAATTTGACACCTTTCACAATCAGCTGAAAGGTCAAACACGACCTGTGTTTCACTTTGACCCACTCACGTTAACTACATTCAACTGCTACAATGACAGCTGGCTTTGTACATCAGTTATTACGTGTAATGTTCACATCAGTGAAGCAGAAAAGCCGACTAACCACATCATGAGATTCAGCAGGAACACTTTGTTATGCTATTAGAGAAGTGCTAATGCTAGCCGGGTGTACCGGCGTTAGCTCTAAACTGTTGAACTACGTCATCGACAGCTTGTTAAAAACTGTATAACTAGAGGCGTTTTAATAAATACGTAAAATAAAAGTCAAACACATTTTCAAATAAGGAGTGTTGTAGAAGCAGAGCTGACTAAAGGAGGAGAGGTGACATACCAGCGGAGCGCAGTTTCATAACATCGCATAAGCTCGGCGCATGGAGCCAACGTCAGTTAGATCTAAAGTCTACAAAATAAGAGCGCGGGCCTTCAAAATAAAAACACCACCATTTTCGGGATTAAAGAGTAGTTGAGTGATGAACAATGATAAATAAAAAGTAAAACATCAAAAAAGAATAATTAAAATATTGAATACTGGACACATATAATTGTCAATAGAATTGTTTATTGTTCAGCACAATAAACAATTATACTGTCAGCATTGTTACTGATATTGAAAGCTTATTGATAATTTGTCCAAGTAAAGAATGCCCTCCCACAAATGTCATGTGACTACCTCATTGGCTTACAGAATCGTGATGTCACACACATTTAGAATCTTACCACCACTGTGATCCTTTGATCCTTTGATCCTAAAACCCTTAAATAGGGGTGAGACGCAAGAACTTTTAGTCCGTTATTCGCAGCATTTATGTGTGCAGCATTCAAACGTTCGCCAGAGAAGCCTTTTTTGGATCCTTTTCAGAGTCACTGTTAACAGATTCCAACATGTCTCCAAGAAAACAGAAAAAAAGAGAAAACGTAAAGCCCAGCGCTCCTCTTTGCAATCGAGAAGACGATACTCAACTGCAGAAGATGTGCTTGGAAGA